TATATCCCTACCTCGATACCCAGCGAGGCGTGTAAATAAGTGGGTAGGCGGATTACGATCGACAGCCGGGGGTAACCCAAAGGGGGCTCTCCCCCCTCCTTTACCGTGTAAGTTTATCGAGGGAGAATGGTTGGAGTCTGTTTGGAGTTGACAATGGTGCTGTTCGCCAGCAAATCGTAATTTGAAATGAAAGGTCCTGTTCTAGAGGCATGTGTTTCCGTTTTCAGAATCCTCTTGGTTGTTTCCGTCCTTAGTCAATTTAGGTTCGATCGTATGGTCAGCCCAAAAATGGTTGTCAAACCTGCTTGTTTCCATCCGAACCAAACGGAAACGTGTTACTGCAGAACAGAACCAGTGTGGAAACAGAAACGTCTAGATGGAAGGTGAGTACCCACCTTCCCTCCCTAGCAATTTTTGTTTCCGTTTCCATGCCAAGTGATACCACCTATTCACGGGAAGCAAAATGGCATCCATGTGGAAACAAATGTCCAGGTGCAACCTGTTCTCTGCCCTCCAATTTACAAATGCCGTAGGCCAACCACCTCCTGTTTTAGTATGATGACGGGTTGTAGGGAACTAGCAATAGCAGAGGGTCGATTCCTGTTCCTTTTCGCGAGGCCATTCTTGAGTCTACCAAGTCAAACGCTAAACGCTGCATGAAAGGCAAACCCTTGCAACTTTGAGCATTTAATCCAAGTGCCGGGGAATTCCCTGGGTTTTTCACCCCACGTACATTTTTTTTTTACAAACCCCTTATTCAAACGAGTAGACCTAAACTAGTTGAAATTCAAGAGTGACTACACCTCCTTCCTTTACGGGAAGGAGGGCGGACACCAGCCCATGGGCGGGTAGAAATTTCTTGTACAACTGGGTAAACTTTCGCGGGGTGGTTGGGCGTAACGGGTCTAGCGGAAAGTTTCACGAGGGTTCCAATGTTTCCGTTTCCACACTGTGCTCGTCTGCCTGTAGAACAGGGCCAAAAAGATGGCATCGGCATCGCGACCGCATATGGAAACGGAGGTGGAACCCACCTCCGAGGTTTGGCCGTAATGCCGTTCAGGAAACTTCTGCGCCTGCGGTTGAGAAATTTCGCAACCGCATCCGGAACCTCCATTCCCACCTTCCCCCCGATCCCTTTTGAACGGCAATGCGACGGCTGTGCCATCGATGTGCTTCGAAAAACGCAGCATGGCGATGGCATGGCTAGGGGATGGTGTTTTGCCTGGGGACGAAGTTTCGTCCCCGCTTCCATATGCCGTCGAAGCGTTAGATTTGGTGGACAAAAGTGGGCGTTCGCCAGACGCCCACTTTGTTTGTTGGTTTGGACGGTAGGTGAGGCTCGGCACTTTTTTCACGGGCTGACCAGGCTGACGGAGGTTAACGAACTCTAACTGACGGGATCAGGAAGGCGAGACCCACCTTCCTGATCCCGTCGTTATCCCGTGTTTTTTTGCTATAATGGTGCTGGCGAACAGCCCCAATGTTTACTCGACTCTTGGTACGATCTAGGGAATTCACGACACGATGAGTTCAGAGAAGACAGCCTAGAAATTTCCTAGGAAATACAAGAGCATTTAATGCAATTCATGCACAGGGTAAAGGTCCACCAATGCTGTCCATGTATGTGCATCAAGATGCTCATACACCACCCGTTCTGCTATTGAACAGTGATTAGTGTGGGAGGTATCATTAGTGCCCCATCAATGGATCCATGTGCCCCACATACGTTGGTGGTGACCACAAGTGGATTGAAGAACTTGCTGAGGTGGGCATCATATGTAGTATGATCTTCTTTGGATGCAAGCATCTACCCCAAATGACATGTGAGGCATGAATTAAAATGATCACATGATGCTCAAGTTGCTCACATCCCCATACTTAAGTGGTGTTGTGGTGGATGTTTTGCATAGCATTTTGTGACAACCAGAGTCACCAACTCCATCCAACCCCTCCCCTAAGGTACAACTTACAACATGCCACCCCCTAAGGTAGTAACTCATGCTACATATGTTTCCCATTGTTGTACATGTCAAACATTATACATGTTGTATTTGTGTAGGCTATAGTGGGTTAGCCTATAGGGGGGTCACAATTCTAGGGTTTCATATTTGTACCAAACTCACTGCTAGTTCATTCATTCCTGCCAGTTAGTTTCAACATGGTTTCAGAGCAGGTCCTTCGCTAGGACCGTTTCGTTAGGGCCCACCTACCTACCTACCTACCTACCTACCTGCGCCCTAGAGCGCTTCGTACTTCACGGCCCCCTAAGGCCCCGCGACCCGCGACCCGCACCTTAGCGACCCGCGCGCCGCCCCTTAGCGACCCCGTCGGCCCCGCACTGCCCCTAGAGGCCCCTTACGGCCCCGTCGCAGCCCCTTAGAGGCCCCGTCGGCCCCGCGCACCGCCCCTAGAGGCCCCGTCGACCCCGTCGCAGCCCCTTAGAGGCCCCATCGGCCCCGCGCGCCGCCCCTAGAGGCCCCGTCGACCCCGTCGCAGCCCCTTAGAGGCCCCGTCGGCCCCACGCGCTGCCTGCTAGGGGCCCCGTCGACCCCGCGTACCTACCCTAGAGGCCCCGCGGCCCCGTGCGCACCCCGTGTAGCGGCCCCCGCGGCCCCGTCGACCCACCCTAGAGGCCCCGCGGCCCCGTCGACCTACCCTAGAGGCCCCGCGGCCCCGTGCGCACCCCGTGTAGCGGCCCCCCGCGGCCCCGTCGACCCACCCTAGAGGCCCCGCGGCCCCGCACGCGCCCCGTTTCACGACCCCGCGGCCCCGTCGACCCTCCCCTAGAGGCCCCGCGGCCCCGCGCGCACCCCGTTTAGCGGCCCCGTGGCCCCGTCGCCCGCCACCTCACGGCCCCGCGACCCTGCTGCGCCCCGCTTAGCGGCCCCTCGGCCCCGCTTACGGCTCCGCGCAACCGAATCGAGCCACGCCACCCTACCTGAACCGAGCCGCGCCGCCCGTACTGAGCAGCCCCGTCGATCCTGCTGCTCCTCATCTTTCTTCTACGGCTACTACTACTGCTCCTACTGCTACTACTGCTGCCACTATGGCCAGTCCTCCCGTACTTGCTTTCGATGCTGAGGGCCGCCCAGTGAAATTTGACACCTGGCTAGATGACCTGCACCTCTTCCTACAGCTCACTGCCAAGGAGGATATTTCACTCTACGATCATGCCCTCAGTCACACTACTGCCCCTCCTACCACTGCAGACAGCACTCAGCGCTCACAGTGGCAGACTCGTGACGCTCACGCTCGCTTCGCTATTCGCAACTCCCTGCCACTCGATGAGCGCGAGCACTTTGGCCAGCACAAGACTGCTAAGGACCTGTACACTGCTGTCGTTGCTCGTTACTCCTCACCTGCCTCTGCCGCACTAGGCCGCCTCACCCTCCCCTACCTGTTCCCCGACCTGGCCTCCTTCAGCACAGTCGCTGACCTCATCACCCACCTCAGGACCAGTGAGGCCCGCTTTCGCGCTGCTATGCCTGACGAGTTCCTTGCCGCCAACCCCCCCCCCGCTCTGGATCACTCTCTACCACATAGTCACCCGCCTCCCCGACTCCCTGCGCACAGTCAGGGACCACTTCCTCTCTCGCTCCCCCACTGAGCTCACTGTTGCCCTCCTCGAGAAGGAACTGCTTGCAGCTGAGGCGAGCATCGTCGCTGTAGGCACCTCTCGTGGCGACCCTCGCACCCCGTTCTTCGAGGGGTGTTCCCCTTCCCCCCTCCTCCCCTCTGTCGCCTCTGCTGCTGCTGTCGACCTCCTTGGTGCTGAGAAGGTCGGGACTGCGTCTGCTTCGAGCGGGCGCCGCAGGAGCAAGGGAGGCAGGGGTGGGGGTGGTGGCGGAGGAGGTGGGGGTGGAGGCGGTGGGAGTGGAGGCGCGACTGGGGAGGCTAGTGGCGGCAGTGGGGAAGGATACAGCAGCGGCGGGAGCGGTGGCAGGGGTGGAGGCGGCAGCGGAGGTGGAGGTGGTCGTGGCGGCGGCAGGGGTGGAGGTGGCCGAGGCGGTGGTGGTGGCAGTGGTGGTCGTGGAGGCACTGGCGGAGGCCCGAGTCAGCAGCCCGCCCCGACGCTTCAGGCCGCCCGTGAGTGGTATGCGCAGCGTAGCTTTACCTGCACGTACGTCATTCGCATAGGTGACCGCAGCGGCCAGCAGTGTGGGCAGCCGCACCCCACGCAGCGCTGCTTCGCGCGCCTTACCGACGCGTGGCGCACCCAGTTTCCTGATGCCGCTGAGCTGCCGCGCTGGGCTGATCTGGAAAAGAGGGGTGTCGATATTTGGGCTCTAGACTTTGATGCTATTCTCACTGCCATGTATGCGATGTCTATTAGTGGAGAGGGTGCTCAGTACTTGCGTGTTCCGCCCGACCCGGGCATTCAGGCCAGTCCGGCTGCCGCTCTAGGTGCTAGTGCGTCTGCTCCCACAGGTCCTGGTGAGGCTGCTGCCCTAGGTGCTAGTGCGTCCGTGCCCCCTGGTACTGAGTTGACTGCAGCACTGCACACCTTCACACTGGACTCAGGTGCCTCTCGCTGCTTCTTTCGTGACCGCACTGTCCTTGAGCCACTCGCTCGGCCAGTTGCTGTCTCCCTTGCTGACCCCTCTGGGGGTCCGGTCATTGCGACCTCCTCCACTGTTCTTCCTTGTCCTGCGGTCCCGTCCGGCACGCTGTCAGGTCTCTACCTCCCCTCGTTCTCTACGAACTTGGTGGCGGGTTGTGCGCTCCAGGACTCGGGTGTTCACCAGTTCACCCCTGCCTACGAGCGCGTGACACACTGCACGTGTGCTCGGACGGGTCGCCACCTGGCTACTTTCACTCGAGAGCCGGGGTCGGACCTGTACACACTGACCACTGAGTCCCCTCAGGTAGCTGCGTCTGCGTCTACGTCTGCGTCTGCGTCAGGTCAGCTGTCCGCCCCCTGCTCGTGTCGCTCTCTGGCGCATGAGACTGTCCTTTGGCACCACCGCCTTGGTCACCCGTCTGTGCAGCGCCTTCGGGCCATGCACAAACGGGACCTTGTTGCTGGTCTTCCCAGGGTGCTCCCTCCCCTTCCCGACTCGCCTGCTCCTCCCTGTATTCCCTGTGTCGAGGGGCGGCAGCGCGCCGCTCCTCACTCCTCCTCCTTTCCCCCGACGACTGCTCCCTTGCAGACGCTCCACTTGGACGTGTGGGGCCCAGCCCGCGTCCGTGGACAGGGTCAGGAGCGGTACTTCCTGCTAGTTGTTGACGACTTCTCGCGCTACACCACGGTCTTCCCCTTGCGAGCCAAGGGTGACGTCCCTGATGTCTTGATCCCTTGGATCCGCAGATCTCGTCTCCAGCTCACCAGGCGTTTCCGCTCCGACTTTCCTGTCCTGCGTCTGCACTCTGACAGAGGTGGGGAGTTTTCCTCTGGCCTCCTGGAGGCCTTCTGTCAGCAGGAGGGCATTGAGCAGTCGTTCACGCTTCCGGACTCTCCACAGCAGAATGGGGTTGCTGAGCGCCGCATTGGTCTAGTCATGGAGGTCGCTCGTACCTCCTTGAGTCATGCGGCTGCCCCCCATTTTCTGTGGTCGTTTGCGGTCCGATACGCTGCGCATCAGCTCAACCTCTGGCCCCGTGTCTCCTTGCCCGAGACTTCTCCGACACTGCGTTGGACGGGAGAGGCTGGCGATGCGTCGCGTTTTCGGGTCTGGGGATCCCGAGCTTTTGTCCGCGACACGTCCGCGGACAAGCTCTCCCGTCGCGCTGTCCCCTGCGTCTTCCTTGGCTTTGTCCCGGACGTCTCTGGTTGGCAGTTCTACCACCCCACCTCGCGTCGTGTCCTGGCCTCTCAGGACGTCACTTTTGACGAGTCCGTCCCCTACTACCGCCTCTTCCCCTACCGCACTGCCCCGCTCCCCCCCCCACCTCTCTTCCTCGCTCCAGGTGCTGAGGTACCAGACCCCCTCCCCCCTCAGGGTGCCGCTCCTTCAGGTGTGTCCCAGGTAGACCCGGGTGAGCCTGTCGAGGTAGCTGTTGACTCTCGTCCTGCGTCTGGGGGTGCTGAGCCTGGGGGTGCTGAGTCTGGGGGTGCGGAGCCTGGGGGTGTTGAGCCTGGCGGTGCGGAGCCTGGAGGTGCTGTCTCAGGGGGTGCTGCGTCTGGGGGTGCTGAGTCTGGGGGTGCTGAGACTGAGCGTGCTACACCTGGAGGAGCCCTCTCCTCCCAGCAGCTGCAGGAGAGGTACCTCGAGTACTGCCGCCTCCGGAGAGGTGCTGCTGGAGCTCGTCCCGGTACTTCCCCTCCTACCCAGGAGCTCCCCCCCATTCAGCAGATCCGAGAGTGGTACACACGCCGCTGCAGTCTTCGGAGTGGTCCTCCGGGTGCTGCGGACCCTGGGGGTGGCGCTGCTGCTGGTGCTGAGGACCCGGGCGATGGAGCTGCTGCTGGTGCTGAGGACTCGGACGTTGGAGCTGCTGCTGGAGCTGAGGACCCGGCTGGTGGAGTTGCTGCTGGTGCTGAGGACTCGGACGTTGGAGCTACTGCTGGAGCTGAGGACCCGGCTGGTGGAGTTCCTGCTGGTGCTGCGGACCCGAGCGGTGGCGCTGCTGCTGGTGCTGAGGACCCGGGTGTTGGAGCTGCTGCTGGTGCTGAGGACCCTGCCGCTGGTGTCGCTGCTGGTGCTGAGGACTCGGACGTTGGAGCTACTGCTGGAGCTGAGGACCCGGCTGGTGGAGTTCCTGCTGGTGCTGCGGACCCGAGCGGTGGCGCTGCTGCTGGTGCTGCGGACCCGGGCGTTGGAGCTACTGCTGGTGCTGAGTCCCCTACCGCTGGTGTCGCTGGCGACGCTGCGCGGCCGCGACCGTACTTCGTACCACTTCTTCAGCAGGTTCTTGGTCAGGCTCCTCCTCCTTGTCCTCCTCCCTCCGTAGAGTGTCCTCCGCCTGTCCAGTCGCAGTCACAGTTCCCGCCTGCCTCGCCTCTCCCTGCTCCCTCTCCTTACACTGGTCCCACAGGAGGTCTTACAGAGCGTCGTGAGCCTGAGTCTCGTCCTGCGTCGCCTGTACGTACTGCTCGCACTGGTCGTCGTGTCCCGCGTGAGCGTCCTCCTCCTGTCCCTGGCACTCACTACATGACTCTGCGTCCCTCCACTGCTCCTCAGCGTGTCCCGCTACCGTCTCCTCCTGCTTCCTCTCTGCCTACTCTTCCTGATCCGGAGTCTGACTCCCGTCGTGCTGCCAGTCCCACTGTCACCCGTCTCCTCGCTACTGTTGTCACTGACCCTACCTTTGAGTCCACCGCTGCGTCTTCTCTGGTCGCTGAGCTCGTTGACTTTGCTGCTGCCTGTCGTCTAGACTACGCCACTAGCCTCGTTGCTGAGTCTGAGTCTGCGTCTGTCTGTCCTCCGTCCGTCGGGGGTGAGTGTGCTCTTGGCACGGACGTCCTTGAGGACAGACAGGAGGAGTTCCAGTGCTTTGCTGCTGCTTTACCCCACCTCGTGTCCATGCTAGTTGCCCCTGAGGGAGACCCGGATGCACCAGACATCCCGACCCCGCGCACTTACGCTGAGGCGATGGCGGGTCCTTACTCCTCTCAGTGGCAGACAGCCATGGACGCAGAGATGGCTTCCTGGAAGTCCACACGCACCTACGTCGACGAGGTTCCCCCACCTTGGGCGAACATCGTCAGTGGCATGTGGATTTTCAGGGTGAAGCGGCCGCCGGGTTCTCCTCCTGTCTTCAAGGCGCGCTACGTGGCTCGAGGCTTCAGTCAGCGAGAGGGAGTTGACTTCTTTCAGACCTTCTCCCCCACCCCGAAGATGACCACTCTTCGGGTGCTACTGCACATAGCCGCTCAGCGCGACTACGAGCTTCACTCACTTGACTTCAGCACTGCTTTCTTGCAGGGCAGCCTGCACGAGGAGATCTGGCTGCGCCGCCCTCCTGGCTTCACTGGGTCGGTTCCTCCTGGTACCCAGTGGAGACTTCAGCGGCCGGTCTACGGTCTCCGCCAGGCACCGCGTGAGTGGCACGACACACTGAGGACGACACTTGCGGCTCTTGGGTTCGCTCCCTCTACTGCTGACCCGTCACTGTTTCTACGCACCGACACCTTGCTGCCGCCGTTCTACATCCTCGTGTACGTCGACGACTTGGTCTTTGCCACTGCTGACACCGCGGCACTCGCCCACGTGAAGTCGGAGCTGCAGAGGAGACACACGTGCACAGACCTGGGTGAACTGACAAGCTACCTTGGCTTGCAGATCACCCGGGACAGAGCTCGCCGCACCATCACCTTGACTCAGTCACACATGGTGCAGCAGATCCTTCAGCGCTTCCGCTTCACGTACTCCTCGCCTCAGTCCACTCCTCTGCCTACCGGTCACTCGCTCTCAGCTCTGCCTTCGGATGAGTCCGTAGAGCCGAGTGGCCCGTATCCAGAGCTTGTGGGCTGCCTCATGTACCTGATGACCTGCACTCGACCTGACCTTGCATACCCTCTTAGCATCCTTGCACGCTATGTCGCTCCTGGCCGTCACAGGAAGGAGCACATGGATGCCGCTAAGAGGGTGTTGCGCTACTTGTGCAGTACGTCGGGCATGGGGCTAGTGCTTGGAGGGCGAGACTGAGTTGTACTTACTGGACACTCAGACGCTTCTTAGGCGGACGACCAGGCTACTCAGCGGTCGTCTCAGGGTTACACCTTCAGCCTTGGCTCCGGCTCAGTTTCTTGGCGTTCTACTCGCTCCTCTTCTGTTCTCAGCTCCAGTTGTGAGGCTGAGATCTACGCCACAGCCATGGCTGCCCAGGAGCTACGCTGGCTGACCTACCTGCTGACCGACTTGGGTGAGCGGCCTCGTTCTCCTCTAGTGCTGTACGTCGACAACCAGGCTGCCATTGCCTTGTGTGAGGAGCACAGACTGGAGCACAGAACAAAGCACATCGCCCTGCGGTACTTCCTTGCTCGAGAGCTGCAGCAGCGCGGTCAGCTTTGTATTCGCTACGTGGCCACTGAGGCCAACACTGCTGATGTGTTCACCAAGGCGCTTCAGCCTCGTGACCATCAGCGCTTCTGCACTCTACTAGGCCTTGTGCCTACTGGACCTCACTTGCTTACCTCTTGACTTTGCTTGTACTGTGATCACTATATATATCTATACCTGCATGTTTACTCTTGCTAGGTTGTGATCACTGTATCTCATGCTCTGTTATAAACCTGCATGTGAACTGGTCTTGTGACCACTAGCTTGTGCTCGGAATTTGTGTGGTATCCTTGAGATCCACCCTGAGCTTGTTGTTGCCTTGCTTTGCCTTGACTGGTCTTGTGACCCCTAGGTCTCCCCCACTTTGCCTATGGGGGTGTGTCAAACATTATATATGTTGTGCTTGTTAGGCTACAGTGGGTTAGCCTATATGGGGTACAGAATTCTAGGGTTTGCTTTTTGTACTGATTTCTCTGTTAGTTCATCATTCCAGTCTCGTAATCTTGACACCCACTAGCCTACCCAGCAGCCTACCCACTAGCCTACACCCTCCATAGGTATCCATCTGCTGCTGAGGACCCGGACGTTGGAGCTGCTGCTGGTGCTGCGGACCCGCCTGGTGGAGCTGCTGCTGGTGCTGAGGACTCGGACGTTGGCGCTGCTGCTGGTGCTGTTGACCCGGCCGCTGGAGTCTCCTCTGCTTCTGGAGACGCTGCGCGGCCACGACCGTACTTCGTACCGCTCCGTGAGCAGGTTCTTGGGCAGGCTCCTCCTCCTTGTCCTCCTCCCTCCGTAGAGTGTCCTCTGCCTGTCCAGTCGCAGTCACAGTTACCGCCTACCTCGCCTCTCCCTGCTCCCTCTCCTTACACTGGTCCCACAGGAGGTCTTACAGAGCGTCGTGAGCCTCAGTCTCGTCCTGCGTCGCCTGTCCGTCCTGCTCGCACTGGTAGTCGTGTCCGTCGTGAGCGTCCTCCTCCTGTCCCAGGCACTCACTACATGACTTTGCGTCCCTCTACTGCTCCTCAGCGTGTCCCTCTACCGTCTCCTCCCGCGTCTTCTTTGCCTCACGTTCCGGACCCTGAGTCTGACCGGTATCGTGCTGAGCACCCTACTGTCACACGTCTCCTCGCTACTGTTGTCACTGACCCTACCTTTGAGTCCTCGACTGCGTCTGCTCTGGTCGCTGAGTTGGTTGACTTTGCTGCTGCCTGTCGTCTAGACTACGCTGCTAGCCTTGTTGCTGAGTCTGAGTCTGAGTCTGTCTGTCCTCCGTCCGTCGGGGGTGAGTGTGCTCTTGGCACGGACGTCCTTGAGGACAGACAGGAGGAGTTCCAGTGTCTTGCTGCTGCTTTGCCCCGTCTCGTGTCCTTGCTAGTTGCCCCTGAGGGAGACCCGGATGCACCAGACATCCCGACCCCACGCACTTACGCTGAGGCGATGGCGGGTCCCTACTCCTCTCAGTGGCAGACAGCCATGGACGCCGAGATGGCTTCCTGGAAGTCCACACGCACCTACGTCGACGAGGTTCCCCCTCCTGGGGCGAACATCGTCAGTGGCATGTGGATTTTCAGGGTGAAGCGGCCGCCGGGTTCTCCGCCTGTCTTCAAGGCGCGTTACGTGGCTCGAGGCTTCAGTCAGCGAGAGGGAGTTGACTTCTTCCAGACATTCTCCCCCACCCCGAAGATGACTACTCTTCGAGTGCTGCTGCACATAGCCGCTCATCGCGACTACGAGCTTCACTCACTTGACTTCAGCACTGCTTTCTTGCAGGGAAGCCTGCACGAGGAGATCTGGCTGCGCCGCCCACCTGGCTTCACTGGGTCGTTTCCTCCTGGTACCCAGTGGAGGCTTCAGCGGCCGGTCTACGGTCTCCGCCAGGCTCCGCGTGAGTGGCACGACACACTGAGGACTACACTTGCGGCTCTTGGGTTCGCGCCTTCTACAGCTGACCCGTCGCTGTTCCTGCGCACCGACACTTCGCTGCCGCCGTTCTACATCCTCGTGTACGTCGACGACTTGGTCTTTGCCACTGCTGACACTGCAGGACTCGCCTACGTGAAGTCGGAGCTGCAGAGGAGACACACGTGCACAGACCTGGGTGAGCTGACAAGCTATCTTGGCTTGCGGATCACCCGGGACAGAGCACGGCGCACCATCACCTTGACTCAGTCACACATGGTGCAGCAGGTTCTCCAGCGCTTTGGCTTCACGTACTCCTCGCCTCAGTCCACTCCTCTGCCTACCGGTCACTCGCTCTCAGCTCTGCCTTCGGATGAGTCCGTAGAGCCGAGTGGCTCGTATCCAGAGCTTGTGGGCTGCCTCATGTACCTGATGACCTGCACTCGACCTGACCTTGCATACCCTCTTAGCATCCTTGCACGCTATGTCGCTCCTGGCCGTCACAGGAAGGAGCACATGGATGCCGCTAAGAGGGTGTTGCGCTACTTGTGCAGTACGTCGGGCATGGGGCTTGTGCTTGGAGGGCGAGACCGAGTTGTGCTCACAGGGCACTCAGACGCTTCTTGGGCAGACGACCAGGCCACTCAGTGGTCGTCTCAGGGTTACACCTTCAGCCTTGGCTCTGGCTCAGTTTCTTGGCGCTCTACACGCTCTTCTTCTGTTCTCGGCTCCAGTTGCGAGGCTGAGATCTACGCTACAGCCATGGCTGCCCAGGAGCTACGCTGGCTGACCTACCTGCTGACTGACCTCGGAGAGCCGCCTCGTTCTCCTCCAGTACTGTACGTCGACAACAAGGCTGCCATTGCCTTGTGTGAGGAGCACAGACTGGAGCACAGAACGAAGCACATCGCCCTGCGGTACTTCCTTGCTCGAGAGCTGCAGCAGCGCGGTCAGCTTTGTCTGCGTTACGTGGCCACTGAGGCCAACCTTGCTGATGTGTTCACCAAGGCGCTTCCGCCTTGTGACCATCAGCGCTTCTGCACTCTGCTAGGCCTTGTGCCTACTGGACCTCACTTGCTTACCTCTTGACTCTGTTTGTACTGTGATCTCTATATATATACCTGCATGTTTACACTTGCTAGATTATGATCACTGTATCTCTTGCTATATTATCAAACTGCATGTGAACTGGTCTTGTGACCATTTGCTTGTGCTCAGAATTTGTGTGGTATCCTTGAGATCCACCCTGAGCTTGTTTTGCTTTGACTGGTCTTGTGACCCCTTGCTCTCCCCACTTCGCCTATGGGGGTGTGTCAAACATTATACATGTTGTATTTGTGTAGGCTATAGTGGGTTAGCCTATAGGGGGGTCACAATTCTAGGGTTTCATATTTGTACCAAACTCACTGCTAGTTCATTCATTCCTGCCAGTTAGTTTCAACAGTAGATTCTGTGTTTTTCACCTTTACATCTTTTTACGTCTCCATTGATTACTGTTCACCGTTCTGTCCGTTCTCTTCGTATGATCAAACGGCGCTGTCTGGTGAGCATCATCGGTTTGTCGGACTAGCAAGGTCGGTGGCCTGCGCTGCACCAAGGTCGCTTGCCAATGCTGCAGTACGGTGTTCTGCCAGCATTGCAACCGCCGCTGACAACACTGCGTACACCCACTTCGCATGTGTTTGTAGACGAATGTCCACGGCATGCACCGTTATGCACACGACCCGAATGCAAATTTGGCCACGTGCCAACATTTGTGTCTGGTGAGCAAGGTCGACCACATGCAGGGCGTTGATCGACTTCGCCAAACCAACCTCAAAGACCATCGCACACCTCCGCGGAACCTTATGGACCATATAGCGTGATACGTGTTTCTCAGAAGAACTAGGCAAGAATGAATGAACTAGCAGAAGTTTGGGTACAAATATGAAACCCTAGTTGGGGTTGTACCCCATATTGGCTACCCCACTACAGCCTACAAGCATAATACAGTTTAACACACCCCCATAGGCAAAGTGGGGGAGAACAAAGGGTCACAAGACCAGTCCAGCAAAGCAAAGCAAAGCCCAGGGTGGATCACAACGTCACCACACTCCGAGCACAAGTAAAGGCCACAAGGCCAGTTCACATGCAGTGCTAGATATAGTACAAGACAAGCAACACAGTGATCAAAACCTAGCAAGCAAGCAACAAGATATATATAAAGTACAGTACAAAGAATGTCAAGTAGTGAGCAAGTGAGGAAATGTGGACACAAGGCCTAAAGAAGTACAGTGCCGCTGATGATCACTAGGCGGGAGCGCCTTGGTGAAGATATCAGCAGTGTTGGCCTTCGAGTCCACGTACACAAGCCGAAGCTGACCGCGCTGCTGAAGCTCTCGAGCAAGAAAGTAGCGAAGAGCAATGTGCTTCGTCCTGTGCTCCAGTCTGTGCTCCTGACACAAGGCAAGAGCCGCCTTGTTGTCACCGTACAGAACTGGAGGAGAACTAGGCCGCTCTCCCAAGTCAGTCAGCAGGTAGGTGAGCCAGCGTAACTCCTGTGCAGCCATGGCTGTGGCGTAGATCTCAGCCTCACAACTAGAGCCGAGAACAGAGGAAGAGCGGGTGGACCGCCACGAGACAGAACCAGAGCCAAGGCTGAAGGTGTAACCCTGTGACGACCGCTGCGTAGCCAGGTCGTCCACCCAAGAAGCGTCCGAGTGACCAGTGAGGACAACTCTGTCGCGTCCTCCAAGCACCAGCCCCATGCCTGATGTACTGCACAAGTAACGCAGCACCCTCTTAGCAGCCTCCCAGTGCTCTCGCCTGTGTCTCCCAGGCACAACGTAACGAGCAAGGATGCTAAGAGGGTACGCGAGGTCAGGTCGCGTGCAGGTCATCAGGTACATGAGGCAGCCTACAAGCTCTGGGTACGGGCCACTCGGCTCTACGGACTCGTCCGAAGGTGGAGCTGAGAGCGAGTGGCTGGTAGCCAGAGGTGTGGCCTGTGGTGAGGAGAACTGGAAGCCGAAGCGCTGAAGGACCTGCTGCACCATGTGTGACTGAGTCAGGGTGATGGTGCGGCGAGCTCTGTCCCGGGTGATCTGCAAGCCAAGGTAGCTACGCAGTTCACCCAGGTCAGTGCAGGTGTGTCTCTTCTGCAGCTCCGACTTCACACGAGCGAGTGCCTCAGTGTCAGCAGTGGCAAAGACCAAGTCGTCGACGTACACGAGAATGTAGAACGGCGGCAGCGACGTGTCTGT